GTTATGTTTGTACTAGTGTACTGTAGCTGCATGAGGATTACAAGGTGATAATTAACGTGAATCAACTTAATCACCACCAGCACTTAAAATAAAAAGTACTAACTAATGGCCCTTCAAGGATAATATAGAGAGGTTGAATATTAAAGTTGATATTAAAAGATGGGACACTGATTTTGGTGGTGATGCAAGTGGCTAAGCCTGTAGTGATTGAGTATATGTGTAGATAATTGAAATACAAAGGTTTTACAATGTATTCATATTCTTTATATAATCCCTCTGAATTAATTTATCCCATGTTTACCCTTTATCCCGTGGATATAGCTCATTTAATATTGTTTTGCATTCCACAGTTGTGACATCACAATGGGTTTTTTGTAGGGCTGTGCAATATTACCGGTATATCGGTATATTGCGGTATTATCCACCACGATAATATATCACGATATAAAAATCAGATACCGGTATTTCACGATATTTATGAAAATATATATAAAACCTCCTTTATTGTAGAAACTACTGAAATAATACTTGTAACTTCCCCAGGCCTTTTCAATCTAGTTAAAAAAAATACTTCGTCAGCTTTCAGAGGCAGAGAGAGAGAAAAGAGAGAGAGAGAAAGCTTTTCATTCACTGTCGCAATTTTAAATATCTTGCTTTAAAATTATATTGATAATTAATAAAAAGACTTTTAAATAAAATTATTAAGAAAGAAAATATATAAAACATTTTTACAGGGTGTATACCATGTGTACTGTGGTTCTTAAAATTTCATGGAATCTACACGACCGACGATGAATGCTAAGTTCAAGATCCATATTACAAATTGATGGCCATCCATGTTCTCTATACAGTGTTGCTTTTTATTATTTTTTTAAACAAGTTTCATGCCATTTAAACACTTTCATGCTATACCAGGAGCATTTATATTAAAACAATAGCAATAGGCCAATGAAGTTCCTGGTCATATGTCATTATGTGAAATTAGGTTGGGTCAGACTAAAACACCAAACGCCCGAATACATGTAGGTCACAATTTCTTTCTGGCTTTAATTTTATTCTGTGACCACATAAAATTTCTATACAGTATCTATTGTTTTAATCATTAAGTTACATTTTATGCTATTTCAATAAAACACCCACCACCCCCCCTCCAAAAAAAAACAAACAAACAAAACAAAAACGTATAAAGAATATACTATGCATAAACTTTTTTTTTAATTTGAAAATACATCAAATGAGTACATTTTGTTTTAATATTTTACCAGGGTATTTGATTAAAAGTTATAATTATTAATGTCTTATCCCCCGCCCCCTTTAAATTTTTTTTAGAAAAATCAAATAGTCTTTGAACTTGACAGCATTTTAAACTTTCTGCACAAATTAATTAATGATAATTAATCTACAATATATCGCAATATATCGCGCGGCAATATTCAACGTAAAATATTGCAATATATCGCAATATGGTTTTCACTCGCAATACCCAACTCTAGTTTTTTGTTAGCAAAATTAAGTAAAATAAAGTGGAGTTCTACATAAAAACAGTGTAAAACATTGATTGTGGATTATAAAACAAAATTTAAAACATGGAGAAAAAGAATCTCACATGATTTGTAGCTGGATATGATTTTTAGACAATTCTTTGTGTGTTTTATCCCCTCGCCAAGGCTTGGGGATATAAAACACATCTCGTTGGATACAAATCATATACACTTACAAATCATGTGAGATATTATTCATACTTATAATGTATTTATATTCTTTATATAATTTGTACAAATGAATAGATTAATAAAACTCCAAATTCACTAGAACTCTTCTGTAGATTCTTGTTTATGGCGAGTGACCTGTAATTACAGCCATTGAAATCCATAGTGTTGAAAATAAAAAATTAATTTTGTTTCCTTTGATTCACTTTACTGATAATTAGAAGGAAGATGACTGGATAAGTGTTTCTGAGCTTAAGAAATATTTTTTTTTCCAGTTTCAAGAGGTTCAAGATCTTCTCAAGCAAAAAGAAAGTGAAGAAGAGAGTAGAAAAAGAAGGTAGATTGCATTTGCATATTGTGAAAAAAAGATGTCTTTCAATTAGGTCATTTATAAGAAGTTCCAGCCAAAACACAAGTGTTAGTGAAACATTGATGCCCAATATGGCAGCTCATGACCAAAGTTAAGGGTTTTCAAAAGTAGGTCAAACTCGGAATTGTGCGCCCACTTCCTGTTGATTTTGTCTTTGTTGGTTCAATCAATTCTCATTGGCCTAATTATCATAGAAAATGAACTTTGACCTAGTGACCGTGACATTGTAGAATCGTGGACCTTAGGAGACAAGTGGAGGCTTTAGAAGAGGAGCTTCAGACATCTGTAGAAACGGCCAATATTCAGGTGGGTCAGAAAGTTACAGAGGATAACGTAACAAATGCTTAACGGACTTAAAATAAAATCTCTTTTTTCTTGCTCTGGTTTTAAATTCTTAGCTATATATGTAGAAAGTGAATATCAGATTATCAGGCAAGTTTTATTGTTGAGACACAATTGATATAGGCTTGTTATCATGCATTTAAGATTTTAGCTAATTTGATATGAATGGCCATAATTAGTATACTACGAAATTTCAATCAATATCAGAGGGTCACATTTTCATGATTGAGGGAAAAATATTTGAGAGGAATTGTTTTCGGAGGTGAAGAAATGTCTTACAATCTTACCAGTGAAAGAAGTGAATTTTTTGGGTCTTTTTAACACTACCAAAAAAAAAAAAAGAAAAGAAATTAAACTCATAAGCATAATTCTAGACTATGGTGCTTTCTCTAATGCTTATTTGAAATGAAGCTGCTTTTTGGGGAAAAAAACAATTTGGACAGACACCCCACAAAGTTCAAGATCTTGCTGGAAGATCATAGATTGAAAAAACTGTTGTCTTTTTGGCAACTTGTTCAGTTCTCTACACTCCCTTGTCTATTGTAATGTACATGGGGATAATTGTGTTAGATACACACATAGTCATTAAACAAGTTTAAGAAAATTTGTGTATAAGAACAAACAAAGGGGAAAGTAAACTAACAGTTTGGAAGAAAAAAAGAAATAAGGGGGTGGGGAGGGGGGGGGAGTACAGTTTGGAAATGTTGTGAAAAGTGAAGTGCAAGTTATCGTGTATAGATGAAGTACTAAAACATTTTTCCCTATTAAGTTGGTTTGTTTTGCAGGTCCAGTTGGAGGAGGTGACCAATGAGATGAGGAGAACAAACCAGAGAATGACCGTGCTAACACAGGATGGTGACCGAGTCCGGCGAGAAATCGAGGGCCTCAAAAGACAAGTGGACGGTAATTTTTATCTTTAGGTCACCCCAGTCACTTGGTCAACACGATAAACAATTGAATGTGTTTCTAGTACTAATTAATGTATATTTATATTCTATGTGATTACAAACAAGTAGAGCTACCTCTTATCAGAGATTTCTAGCTTTGCAAAGGTATTTTATTTTGTACCAAAGTTGGATATCCATATATATATTTTTTCTGATATTTTATTTATGACAAACAAGATAATTAACTTTTTAATCGTCAACTTCCCTTACCTATGCAGCAATGCACCTACATCACCTGCATATGGGGTTTATATCTTTCAGTTGATTCGATACGCAAGAGTATGCTCTATGTATGAACAATTTTTAAAACAAGGTAAGTTATTGACAAACAAGTTGCTGAAACAAGAGTATCAACAGCCTCATTTAAAGTCATCATTTCGTATGTTATATGGTCGATACAATGACTTGTCAGCAAATATAATTTATCTTGAAGTCAAATGCTGACTATTGTTTTCACAGAGCTGCCAACCCTTACGATTTTGGCGTAAGTTTTACGAAATTAGCATCCAAAATACGCCTTACGATTTCTCTATATTCTTCCGATTTCAGTTTTTCTCCATCAAAGTTTATAATACTGGGATTTTCATAACTGGTCGTCTACAGTTTCTACTATTATAATTAAATATTTATAATCCTTACATTGGTTGCTTGTATCGTCGTTTCGATTTTAGATGGCTGATCGCATTCATGACAATGTTTTTAAGTAAACAAAATGGAAACGTGTCTCAAATTCCTCTGATTGCATGTCCATTTACAAAACATCTTCAGCGGCAGGGGGGCCTCGGCTTTCCACGGACCACGCCTTACTATCTTTCATTTCAGAATGTTGGCAGCTCTGTTGTCATACTAATTGTTAGGCCATTATATCTGTACACACTGAATTGTCGACAGATTTTTCCATTACAGTGGATTCCATTTAATCGGATAGCGGTTAAACGAATATTTCGGCTACTCTGATACAATATCAGAGCACAAAACCATTTCTTATATATTTATTAATAATTTCATCTGATATTCTGATAGGAAAATATCGGATTTTCGTTTTATCTGATAGAAAAATTTTGCCTATCATAGTGATTTTCATAATAATTGTCTCGTTCACACCTCTTCCTTCTGTATGTAAATCCTTTGTTTACACAAGTTTGACACTTCCAGACACGATAATGAGGGGATTAGTCACGGCTGAACACACGCCAGCACCTTACCTGTGTTAACAGTGGGCACACTAGATCGATGTTTTGATAACAATAGTGATGACCGGCTTGGGTGTTAATTTAGATCATTGATAATTGGCTTGTATGCAATTTTCTTCAGCGTGAAATTTTAATTATTGAACTGTTCAGTTTGAGTATGACACTTCGCTTGGACATTAAATTAAAATTATCAGAATTAGACTGTCTATTAAATGGTAGCGCTTGGTCATGTAGTTGAATATGTGTTCACTTTTAAGTGCAATTTTAAAAATTAAAATCACATGCACTCCGTATAAATATACGTCTGAAAATTAAATCCATCAATGAAAGTGACATAACATACAAGTAAAGATGAAACAATAAAGGTTTTTTTTTATTTATTAATCAGCAATCCGGAAAAAAATGGTTTACGTAATATAGTCATGTATTCAATCAACTTCCGTTTTCCAAAATGGATGCCATCAACGAATGGGATGAATGTAAACAAACAGGTGCCTGGTGCTAAATAGATAAATAAAGTTAGAAATAAGTTTTATACTTCAATTAAAAACAAATTATTCATACAAAATCATATTGAACTTGTTATTAAATTAAGTGAAATAATTCATTTCCTGACTTGGTACATTCATCGAACGAAAATGAAAGTACAGGTACGTAATACAACCTTGTTGAAATTGTTACTTGTGTACTGTAGATCTGCTGTTTGTACGGAAATATTGCAATCGGCTATTCCAATATTCAGCTATACGGATAAAATTATTCTGACAACCTGACTATCTGTTTAAACGGAACCCACTGTATTTCCTATTCATGACAAGGAGCACACGGTGGGTGTGACTAATGGGAAGGGGATGCTCACTCGTTCATGACACTTGATCCCACCTCTGATGTTTTGGAGGTCCTTGTTTGCTCTACTCAGATTTTGTTTTGTTAATGAACTTTGAGCTTTAAAACTGTTCGTTATCTTCATATATTTCATTAAAAAAGGCAACAAAAGATATTAAGTAATTCTTTAATAATTTTAAAAGTCTGTCTTTACTTATATACAGGTTTCCAACAAGAACTCAAGGAAATTCAGAATATTGAGAACCGCAAGCTTGAAATGTTGAGGAATAGACACAAACCAACTTACGATGCTGTCATGTGGTATAAGGACAATCGGGACAAATTCCAGGGGCAAGTCCATCTGCCTCTGTTGCTCTCGGTAAGTACTGTATGTCAATAGGAAACAGGTACACATCATTAAGAAGTACTCTAGCTTAATGGTAAATGTATTGGGTTTATGTAAATGGAACTGATCCAGTAGTGTGTGTGACTTATTGGATGAAAGACCGAAAGATGCTTTCTGGACAGTCTGGTGAAGAACAGCAAAAGTTACTCAGGTTGGCGTTGCAGCCCGTGGGCCTCCTGTTGTAAGCAGTTGTGAGAAAAAGGTTAATATGTGGTGCTCGCTTGCCTGTCAAGGTTCAGATGGATCAGACTTGACATTTGATAAATTTTAATGAAAAAATCTCTGGCATTTAATGGACAGGTGATAATCATTTCTAGATGAATTTTGAAATGTCATTTGAAAAAGTCAATAATTATCGTTATTAATCAGGATTTGACGTGTCTTTATTTATATTTCAGGTAAATCCAACGTCTCCCGCAGTAGCCAAGTTCATCGAGATGCACATCAGCGCCAACGACATGAGGGCGTTTATTTTCGAGAACACGGAGGATTACAATGTGTTTATGAGGGAGGTCCGAGACAAGCAGAACCTGAGGGTGAACGCCTTGAAAGTGCCGCCCCAGCAACTGGCAGCCTTCAACGCCAGACACAATATCTCTCGTTATAGGTAACCCCCCCCCCCCCCCCCCCAAAACAAACAAACAAAAAACAAAGGTCTGGCACAACTTGTTCATTCTCAATAGAAATTTTTAAGACTCAGTAAATCTTACATAACTTGGACATGGAGAGTCCATTGAAAAAAGTTTGAGATACTGATCGAACATAAAACCCAAGCTAATGAGAAAAATCTGACTCGCCCACTTCTTTACGGACATCCACACTTTGGAATTCCCAGATACAAAAGTCCAAGTGTACTCTGCATAGAGAGCATTCAGAGGTTTAAATAATATTATTATGTTCCACTTTCATTCCTCTGTATCGCATTTTGTTCATTTCCCGCTTGGCATTCAAAGTAATTTTCATAAATGTTAATCATAGGTTAAAGTCATTTTAATTCATTAGTTAACATTATTTTTATTTAAAAATATCATGAAACTAGATAAGGTGAATAATGTGTCCTAGAAAGTGATTTAAAAAATTGAAACCCTCAGAAGTTTTTCTGTACTAATTTAGCGTAAATTATTCCTGTGTTTAAGTCCATATTGTAGAGTTAATCTATTTAACACCCTACCATTATCTCCTCAGAAAATGACACTTGTGACATCATAATACCAGGAGTTATTAATAGGGATTTTCACTGTAATGACTTCAAATTACGGTGTATCTGTTATCTTAGTATCAATATTTTTTCATTCTAATAAGAGGAAAATTTTAAAGGTTAAAAGATAGAGATAAGTATCAAGAATATTTTGATATTTAATATTATGCAAGTTACAAAATATAAAATCCTTCTACAAAAACTCAGAAATGTCTTATGATGTGGAAACCATTTAATGCTATGGAATTTGTGACCTGTGTCTTGCAAAAGCATAATTATGTACATGTAGAAAGGACAAAAATTATATACCCCTGGGATCTTTCGATCCGGGGCATAAAAATGATTGACAGACAAACAGCTACAGTATAAACACATTACACAGATTCAAATAAATGTTCCTTACATTTTGAGACAGAAGAAGACCAAAATTTAAAAGTAAAACTTAGAATGGAAATGTATAGGAAAAGTTACTAACTCCAAACAAAGCAATCTTTCTTTGACAAAGCAAGAGAGGAAAAAAAGTATGTAGTTAACATTGGGAAAAGGGATCAGGAAACTGCTTAATTTGTGATTAACAGGAGAAAATTATTCGCAACAATAGTTGGTAATGATGGGAAATATGGGGACTGTTTGCACTTCCTGATACTATCATGTGATAATTAGTACGTTAAAACAGATGATAAATTGATAATTATTGATGATCACTGTCTGATTTATAATCATTCCCGATTAAATTTTTGTTTATTAATTGAAGCAGTAATTACTCTTTTACATTCTAAGGTATGATCATTCATTCATTGATGGTGAATTACAGCTTAGACTCTATTGGTTTTCAAAGATTGAATATTAGAATAAAAAGTAATTACATACTCTATTAAAAACTTAATCATGAACACATAAAACTGCACAATTACATAACTTTTCCAAGATTTCTTGAGATGGAACTTTTATTTTAGGGATGGTAATGATGTTTTGCTTAAGGATGTACAACACACCTACCCCAAAAAATTCCTGTCGTTTAATTTTCGTTATTTTTGTATATTTAGTACATGACTATATCTACTGCAGGTATGCACATTTTGGACAAAATCGTTCGAGTGGTTTTTGGACAGGAACTTCCAAAAGTTACCCCCCTTTAGTTGTTTACAAGGAGAGAAAATTTTTAATCAATGAACTACTTAAACCTTGATTTTCAAAAAAGCCAGGTTAGATATAAATGTCAAATTTCATTGGCTTATTCCCTTAACCATTTAACACAAAAACATAGTCATCTTTTTGATATACATACCATCAAAATAATTTTTAAAGACCTTAAACTGAAAAACTATGAATTATCTAAGCCTTGAAAATTGCGTATTTTTCAAATTCAAAATTTTTTTGTGAAAAAACCTGTCGTTTAATTTTGGTAAAAAACTTTCTTTAGGTAGCTGTAGTAAAAATAATCTTCATAATTTTTTGTATAATTTTTGTACGACCAGTTTTGATTTAATAGCGGAAAATTACCCCCTCCCCCTTTCTCAATAAATCACGTTCCCTCGCGTCTTTCAGACGGGGGTCGATCACTTTATTATATGAATCTACAAATACATATTAAAAAAATTAAATTGGAATATTGCTTTTGCTTCAAAAATATATTAACTTACAAATTTAAAAGTTCTCATATGTAAAGCGTATTTAAATGTAGATTTTAGGCAATTTTTGAATACCCCTATCACCCCCACCCCTTCCTTTTTTGCGTCGCAGACCATTAGCGTTTGACGAAACGTCGTTTACAGTGCAAATATACTGGTATTTCGTCATTTGAATCCCGGAGGTATGCATTAGTTTTTAAAATTCATGAATGCAGAATAAATATTGACTACTCTTTTTATATGTATCAGGAAAAAATTACTGAAGGATTTGTGTTTAGTCCATATATGTATGCGTTATGCATTCCATATCACATGAAACCTGGATACGAATTCAAGTTTTGTTTAACTTGAATATGTTGATTTTGTACACCCCTCACGATAGTGTACGCATTTCTTTCAATGTCGTCGCTTCTAAAGTTAAAATGAAAATTCCGTATTCATCCACATTAACTTCAAAATATCAAACACGAAACTCTTCATCTATTTCAATTTTTATAAAATCGCACTTAATCTTACAGGCTACGTTTTGTTTTGATTCGAGGAAATGCGAACCGACATTGTTGACAGAAAGTCAAATGATTTGCTGCAATAGGATATTCATTAATGCAGATAATTTCAGTACAAGTGAACAATGCTTTTCAATTCTATACTTACATTGTGTATATGAGGTCTACAGTATTCAATTCTCGGATTTATCAGGTCTTGCTGTAAATGTATCTGATTCTGTGGAGAACCGTGAATAAAGGGAGGAAAATAAACATCTCCTACATTTTCAGAGTTGTTCCTCTTTGATCAGTAAGGGTCTGAGAACAACATCGATTTTACATTGTAAAAAAAGTTTTTTTGTTTATTTATTGTAGTTTTATTTAATTAAAGAAGAAAAACAATATTTATATCGTAAATGCACAAATTGTAATGAAGACCATTAATCGGAATGCTATATAGCCAATTGTACATAACGAGAATTTCGGCAATGTAAAATAAAATTTTTAGAATAAAAATATGCTGCGCTTCAAATGATCAAAAATACAATTTATTGTATATGAAATGAAATGAAATAAACATTAAGGGATGGTATTGTATGTCTTGCTTTTTCCGGAGTTTAATCGGGTTAATTAAAAGAAATACTTATTGATTGAGTATGGTACGCACAATCACAGCCAAGCCCCATATCCCAATTTTCTTTCATGATTGATATACATCGGGATCGTTTTACTCGTCGTTTTGACGCTTTATTTTTGACGTTAAATTTGACGTCACGTCAAACGTTCAATTGAAATCGCAAGAGTTATCTCCCCCAGTGTGTTGTACGTCTTTAAGGTCAAGGTCTAGTAAATAACTTTAGACTAATTTTTTGGTGCTAGATCCATTATGACGTCATAATCAATTTCAACTTTCTTTTTCCCGTACTTATGTAGAAAATAGGATATTTTCATGACATTCAATTTGAAATCATATGAAAAGTAAACCGGATACCTATATTAAATTTGATATTGATTTAAAGAAGAGGCCACGAACATACATTATCATTTTCTGAGAGACTGTAGGCAGTCTGGATACATTTCCTTTGTCGAATATGAAAAAAACTCCCATATTCATGATTGTTTTTTTTAATTTTTCATTGAAAATGACAGTTTGAAATACAGTTTTTCATGTTGTTTACCAACAAATTTGACCAAGCTAAAGTTGTAAAGCATCAATAAAGGAATTTATTTCACAAGTTTGATAAATCTGTAGGCACGTTTCATTTACTAGATCTTGACCTTAAGAGTAATAATTACCTCCTCTAAGAAAACTGGAAGAGGGCTATTTTTCTTCAGGATTATTGAAATAAAAAATTATTTACATTTATAGATTTCTGTTATGAAAGATAATTGTTTTCTCCTGACACATGTGACACATGGGTTTTTTTGATGGAAATTTGTTCATTGTCATTTGTCTTCATCATTGTCATTCTTGTCGTAGTTGTCTTTGTAAAGGACAAGATAGGGTAAGACCCCTTTTTGGCCCCTGATTTTGGGTGTCTTTTAGAATGATGCAACAGTTTAAAATCTGTTGTCATCCCTGGCAAAATGAGTATTGGTTCTAAATTTTGAAATACACAGAATTCACAGCGAGGTCAGAGAATACATATAAATCAATTTTTTTTTAATGCAAATTTTCATCAGTTTTACAGCACAGTTTGTTTCAGAAAGCATAGAGCACAAGCTTGCTTATCTACCAAATTTATATATTTTATACACTTATCAGATGCAGTTTGTGAAAATCTCAGATAGGCAAGCTTATGCTCTATGTTTTTGAAAGAAACAAGTATCTCAAATATTACGAAATTCCACCAGAGTTGAGGAATTCTGGAAAATATCCTTAACTTCTGCACCATCTTGTGACCTCCATGTAAGCTTTGAATCAAAACAAGTGCTGGTTTGAAAGAAAGCATCAGTGTATGACTAAGTTCTTAACTACAAACTATTACAAATTTACCAGTGTTCTGATTTTTACATCAAATAAAAGGCCAGTTTTGGCTGTTACCCTATCTTGTCCTTTTTCACCTTTTTGACTTCAAAAACCACTGGGCCAACTTCAACCAAACTTGGCAATTTGATTAAATGAAGGGCCATGCCTTCTTCCAAGGGTGAGATAATTATGCTTTCTCAATTCTTTACACTCAGGGGTAGGATTTTCTTTTTCTTGAACAAGTTGATTCTACAAAAATTACATCAGAGTTGTCCATCTTATGACATAAGAATCAAGTGTACATGTTGTAGTTTTGAACTACTGAATTACTGTGACGTGTGTACACTTGAAAAAGTACTGGCAGTTTGATGTTCATGACAAAGTTGTTAAGAGATTATTGTAGTTTTAAACCAAGATCTCATGTGCGTTTAGCAGTTTGACACCTTCTCTTGTTTAATTTACATAGCTTGTAATAATTAGAAAGATTTGTCAATCCTAATTTCCTTTGACAGTCAGTTTGGCTTTGTGAACTACCTGACGGATTACATTGTGTGTGCGGATGGAGTAAGACGCTATCTCTGTGCTCAGTATCACATCCACAACATCCCGGTCGGAACCCGACGCACCAAAGATCTGGTGCAGGACATCAAAAGAAAATGTCCGGAGCTGAGGACCTTCTACACTGACGAGTACCAGGTCTGTAGGCTGCATTTGTTCATAATATAAGAACATTTGAAGCATGTGTAATTGTTCCCACTGAATAGAATTCCCTTGTTCTGTTTTGAATTCTCCCAAAAATATTTCTATTTATGAAAGGTATACATGTACATGTACTGATATAAATTACCGTATAGCAGGTTTTCTTGGCAGGTGTAAAATTTGGCGTTTTGCCTCCTCATAGGTATGACAATAATTTTGGTGTAATTAAAATGCCAAAATAAGCCAAAATTAGCACCCCGCAAAAATAACCTGCTATATGGTACTTTGTCTCACTGCATGATTTTGGTGGAGTTGAAGAGCTATGTTGATTACTTGTTAAAAATATGTTTATTTTTATGTTTGCAGTACACTTGTCGAGTATCCAAGTATGACAAATCTGTGTCTTCCAGAAGCACCAAAATCAGGTAGGCCCTTTGTCATTGCTGATCTGTACAGTGTACTCTCATTAGAGGCCTGTTCAACAGACCGAGCACTTGCAAATGTTTTTTATTGGAGGCATAAGGAATTTTGGCGAGCACTCGCAAACGTTCCCTCTGTTAAACAGGCCTCAGGTCTACCCTCATTAGGTCAACTAGACAAATTGCTGTTAAAATAACAACCTGTAAGTACATGAACATAACCAGAAATCGTACAGGGAAATAAAGTTAGGTTTTAAAGAAATCTATGTTTGGTTGACCATTATGATCCTCACATTACAGAATAATTTTTAATGAAGTATGGTGTTTCAAAAGTATGAAAAATATTGTTACTAATTTAACATTTAAACACATTAAAGGCCAAAAAACTTTTATCTTTCTTTAATTAATGACACTGTATGCATAGTAATTGGACTATGATTTGACTTGAACAGGGACCCCCAGTGGATGTCTGCTTCAGTGGACGCCTCCAGAATCCAGGAACTCAACAACGAGATCAGGGTAAGTGTCAAAAAGAACTCAACAATGAGATCAGGGTAAGTGTCAAAAAGAACTCAACAATGAGATCAGGGTAAGTGTCAAAAGAACTCAACAATGAGATCAGGGTAAGTGTCAAAAAGAACTCAACAACGAGATCAGGGTAAGTGTCAAAAAGAACTCAACAATGAGATCAGGGTAAGTGTAAAAAAGTAGAAACTCAACAATGAGATCAGGGTAAGTGTCGAAAACTAAAAACTCAACAATGAGATCAGGGTAAGTGTCATAAAGTAGAAACTCAGCAATGAGATCAGGGTAAGTGTCAAAATGAACTCATCAACGAGATCAGGGTAAGTGTCAAAAACTAAAAACTCAACAATGAGATCAGGGTAAGTGTCATCAAGTAGAAACTCAACAATGAGATCAGGGTAAGTGTCATAAAGTAGAAACTAAACAATGAGATCAGTGTAAGTGTCATAAAGTAGAAACTCAACAATGAGATCAGGGTAAGTTTCAAAAAGAACTCAACAATGAGATCAGGGTAAGTGTCAAAAGAACTCAACAATAAGATCAGGGTAAGTGTCAAAAAGAACACAACAATAAGATCAGGGTAAGTGTCAAAAAGAACTCGACAATGAGATCAGGGTAAGTGTCAAAACAAGATTATAGGTATAGTCAAACTACAAAATCTCGAAGCCGATACGGCTGAGAAAAAAACTTTGAGATATCCTTGGATTCCAGATATCAAGAGTAAAATACTACAGGAATATGTAATTGGGACTTCCTAATCACTTCCACGTATCCATGGTATTCGAGATATTGGAGTTCAAGATATCAAAGTTCAACTGTATATCAAAGTAAGACTTTGGCAGTGAGATTACTGTATTTAAATTCTAACAAAGTAATGAGGCTATTCATATGAGAAATGGATGAGATTCTGTAGATGCTAAAACAACAGGTTTCCTGCTTTTCCAATCCTTTATTAATGCTCTCAACTACAGTTAAAATTTGATATCTAAAAAATCTGACATCTTGAAAACCATGGATATGTAGAAGTGACTTGTAAGTCCCAAACATATAATTTAAAAAATATTTTACCTCTAATATCTGAAATCCTTGGATATCTCAGAAATTTTTTTCTTGGTCCTTTCTACTTTAATTTGAGATAATGAGATTTGACTGTATTTGGTGCCTTGCACCAGATTTGTGAATTGAGAAGCAGCCACTATAATGATGAAATAATCATCACCAATCATAAATAAAACAAGAGATTTTCATTATGCATATTAAATCATTTCTTTAAATAAAATCTTGAATTGCAGAGTTGTCAAGAACAGAGGAGAGAGAAGGAGGCTGCCTACACAAGGTTACAGCAGGAATCACAGGAGCTGGACACCAAGATGAACAAACTCCGAGAACAGAAGGTGGGATAGAAATCGGGGTTAATTAGCAGCGGCTGATTAGGTTTTAAATCCTGATTTTAAAAATTAATTAGCTTCTTTTTCTTAAATTTTTGTGCTAAACTTACTTGTACAGTACATGTATATATATAAAAAATTAATATTTGCTTTCCAGAAAAATCTTTCCCAGTTAAAGGACAAGAAGAAAAGGCTACAATCTCAAATTGACTCCAAGAAACAAAGGTGAAGAAAATAAAACATTGACTCATATCTAATGTACAGGTATTTCAAAGAATCTTTCAGTTGGAATGGCATATCATTTATTAGGAGTTTTGCTGTAAAAATTAGGTCACTGGAGTGAGTATCAGAAATATTATAAACCAATATTTTGATAAAAAATTAAGACTAAATAAAGTAAAATTTGGGTCAACCAATCACCCTGACCAGTAGGAAAATATGAATGAACAGGTCATTTTAATTGGAGAACTACTTCAATGGCTATCATTCTACCTGTACCAAGCTTATCCAGTCTTCACAATTAGCACAGATTTAGGAATATTTTCTAGATAACAAACATAGCTTCTTTTTCTCTATGGCTCTATTCCAACATACTGTAAACGGCTGTGTATTCTTTTTAGCGCCTTTTGCGGAAAGAAGCTTCCGCTAATTCAAGGACAACACTAAATGTCTAGCACATATACTCATAAATAAGAATGTATGAAAATATATGCTAGCTAGACGAAGTGTGAAAATCAATTTCTGCCAAAATTGAACGCACCAAATATAATACATTTATAGTAAGTTGCTTTTATGTTTTGTAATTGCGTAACTTATCTATCTGCTGCACAGTCTGCTGCAACTTTCAATGTGTTTGTATCTGGATAATATTTTTGACACTGTGCTTTGAAAATCCAGAGAACAATCATCCATCTTGCTAAAAAAATTTTTAGATGCTACTTTAATGGTTTGGTCTGAATTGAGAAAGGCAAAATTTTTTTAAATAAAAAAAGCAAAATAGAATCTGTACTAAATGAATTAATTCTATTGTTTTATCTTAATTTATAAACACTAGAAAACTTGAAAATTTATAAAGATAATGTAATTAATTGCATTTTATCCATTGGTAATCCTTGGTTGACTCTCTGCTACACTCCATACAAACCTTGGATGTGATTGGTGGAGGAATAGGCATCAGGATGATGCATTTCTCCGCTGGAAATTGTCTTATCACTCCTTTCATATTTCGCTCTATAACAACCTTATGTTAGTAGTCTTTGAAAGCAAAAATATAGTTTTGGACATGCCACAAAGTAACTCTAATTTCAAATGTATAACATTTGAATGAAATTCAAATAAGATCACATGACTGAATCACCGAGGTTAGTGTGCAAGGTACGAGCCTTCCGAGGAACTCCGATTGTCATGTTTTTTATCTTCTTAAACCTTTTGCAATTTCCTGTTACAGTAGTGAATGATCAGGGTACATTAAGACTACCTCTATGCTCTTAAAGTAATGCATTAAAGCAGAGAACTTGCACCCCTCCTCCACATTTCCTGAACAAAAATTGTTATTTTTACAAAACTTTATGAATAAATATAATAGTTATTAATTGAAATTAATTGAATTTCCCATCATTTTGTATTATAATTAACTTTCTGTAGAATACAAAATGAGGAGGCCGAGGCAATAGACTTGGATGCTGAGAAAGAGGCCACAGACAAGAAAAAGAAGGAGCTGAATGTTAAAATGTGTGTCTGTCTGCAGAAAATGAAGGATAACACAAAGGTAGGTTGTGTCCCCATCCACAGTTGTGGCAGACAGACGCATTAAGGACCACTATAGCTATAAAAAATTAAAAGAAACACTATTAACTGTAAGTTGTCTGTCCAATTGAGGCTGACAGGTGCATAGGGATCAATTTGTCTGAAGAAATTGAAGGACATCCTTAATTTGTGTTGTGTCATTGGTTAAGGCAGACTGACACTTAGGGATCACATTGTCTTAAGAAATTGAAGGAATAACTACTCCACTAAGTTGTGTTAACCTTGTGTCACTGGTTGAGGCAGACAGACTCTTAGGGACCACTTTGTCTCTGCCCCACAGTCTGGGCTGGGAAGAGTCCCACATTCACTGTCCCACATGTATAATGTAAATAGAGGCCCAGAAGCCTGTTCTTTGGAGCCCTCTTGTGTTTCGTTCACGAGAGGTGATGCTCTTCCTTTCTTCTGTTATACATGTATATTGACAGTAGCTTTTACTTCTCACACAAAGCTTAAATATAAAGATTTAATATACCTATTTCAACTTTTGAAAGATCAAAGTAAATTTTTGTTTGGTTCTACTTTCCATGCATAGTAACAGGTAGCCTTCTCTTAGGCATTGTCGCTTGTGTTATGAAGTGGTTTTAGCATTTGCTCTAGAGTCACAGAGTAAGAATTAGATCTTTATGTTGAGGGCCAGAATCCCACTGCTGTACGTGGAGATCTTTGAATGAAACCAATAAACCAAGTTTTGATGAAGTGGTAGGTGTTGACACAGCAAAGATCCCTTATTCCTCAAATGCCCTTAAAGCTAAGACAAGTCTAAATGTACAGCCCTATATAAAAAAAAAGTTGGTCTCAATATGAATGAAAAATTCTCTATACTGGTACATTCAACAAAGAAACAAAGTAACAAAGACTTGTACTGTTTTCCAGACATACTGCTTATGTAAAGAAGTGTAAATTGAATGTTGTTATAGTCTTTGTAATCATCAGTAGTTTATTATGAGCTTCAAATAGATATATACAAACTGTATTGTTATCATTAGTGACAGTCAGTTGAGTATTTATTATACCCCCTCTGCAAACAAAGTTTGTAGAATTTATTGGAGTCACTGTTTATCTATTTGTTTGTTCATGCAGTCAAGTCTTGGATATTACAATGTACTTTGTATTGTTAACCGATTGTGTATGAGCTAAGGGGATTTCATGACCTTGACTCAAGGCTATTGATGCAAGTTCAAGGTCTCTAAGCTAAAACATTTCAAATTCTTGTGTAGGCTCTAAGTCTGTAATCAAGAATATTTGGAGATTCATACTAGGTACAAGTTTTGTTTACAAGGTCATTCTGGCAAGTTCAAGGTCACTGGCAGAAAAAAAATATTCTTGTCAGGGCTATAATTTTGTATAAATGAGAATCATTAGAATGTCATGCATGGTACAAACTTTAATTAAACCTGATGGTGTGTCATAACTTTGACTGATCAGAAGTTTAATATTTATCCACACAAAGTTATTAATGAATAGTATGAGAAAATAGATAGCCAGAAAAGATTGATATATACAATTCATCAGAAATTAGTTTTGCAGAATGTGTGCTGCATTATTGAAGATTTTACATTAGGTTCTTAATTTATACTAGATAAAGGTTATCTCTGAAATCTACAAATATTGAAGCCCTAAAAAAATATGAAAAATTTCACAATATTACAGCTTAACAAATATGAAAATTACAGTGAATTTGAAAATATAGTTCAAAATACATTTTCAACATTTGTATACCAGCAAAAAAGCAAAAAAATTATAATGTAGGTAAACTTTATAAAAGATGCTTGTTTGTTTTCAGGAATGTTTGAGTCTCAGTATAAGTAAAGTCCGGTTAAGTCTGAAGCATGCTTCCATTGTACGAGACCTTCAGAGCTTGGAGGATGCCAAGAGAGAACAGTCCCATTCCTTACAAGACCTGGAGGTAAGATATATAAAGACCGTTATTAATTCTGATCACTTAATGTAACCTCTGTCCCTAAATCATTGACAAGTTTGCGGCATGAAATCTGACTATTGGATTCTAAAGAATTTCTTTTCTTATTTTTAAGGGACAAAGGGGGCAGATATATTCTGTCATTCAATATTGCCTCCTAATTATTTAAGAAGCAGTTTAAAATTGTGCACACACATCAAATATTTAAAAAAAAATTGTAAAGGGGTTTGGAGTTTTGCATCTTATCCAATTGTCTGCTGTAATATTTACTAAATGAGACTGATTAAACTGCCTATTGTGAAGTAATTGGTATGATTTTAATTCACAGAGGGAGTTTGAGGAAGCTAAAGAGAGAGTGAGAGAAATTAAAGACAAGGCCAAAAGATTGTTATCTATAGCCAAGAAAGCCACAGGGACAGCGGATAATGAGGAGTTATCTCAGGAAATCAGGGCGGTGAGTACACTCAGACTTAGGAATGACAAGACCCATTCAGTCATATCATCTACAGCTGTTCATTTTGACCATAATATTAAAAATTGAAATTAATTTTATTTCGGTAAAAGAAAAATATTTTGAATCTGACTGCTATTATCATGATGATCAGAGAATATATGGCGTGGTGTGTGTCAACATCTTTTCATTATATAAAACTTGTTTATGCCTTATTTTGAAGTTATATGTAATTTATCTACCCTCAGAGTATAATGTAATGTAAACAAACCTTTGTTCTGAAGGTCACTAAATACATCTGTCATTGATTATTATCGGCCGCAGCAGCGGCCGATCTATTTGTGATTGTGTTAGAATGTGCACATGGGGAAATGAGACGTTATTTTTTGATTTGTAGAATAAAATAATTCTTAAATGATAACATGTGTTATATCATGAGTAAAATATTTTAAAAACTTGCTTTAATGTAAGTATTAATTGTTGTAATTACGTTTCAATTTCATTGTAATTTCTCTTCAGACGATTGATAATTTATGGTTATATAAAAAGAGTTTATAATAGGTACTCCCCACCCTGAGAGTGTACAAGATTTGAAAGCAAATCGTCACGATTTTCCGGAAAAAAATGACGTGATAAAAGTGCATGGTAAATAAAAATAAAAAATTTGTTCAAGTAGTAAAAATTGTCCTGAATATGCTAAAGCTGCAAACGAAACAATAGATAATTTCTGTACATTTTGCACTGTGCCTTGCAGCATAGCCTCAGCCCTCTTCTGCAGAAACCATAGGCATTATCACGTGACAAAGATCCAGGGTATCAGCACGTGGTTCATCTTGAGGCCTGCATCTTCATTTTGATGGCGATAAATTCTTATCATTTATATATGACTATTATTTGATGAATCCATTTGTAGAACAAATGCACTAAAATTTCTATTTATTTAATTTATTTTACTTTGAAGACAGTCTGGAATAAAAAAAGATAACTATTTCAGCTTTGAATAAGTTGTATTTTCCAGACACGTAGCATCGTTTTTGAAAGTGGGGGGGCCAACCTGAGAAAATTTTTTTTTTACTTACCTGAAAAAGTTGACAAGCAAAAAAAAAATAAAATTACTATCACTTCCAATTTTTTCCTTACAATCCTTGCTATCACTATACTATGGTTATAAAGTGGGGGGGCCAACCATCCTATCAATGAACATTTACTATAGTAAAGGTTATGTTGGGGAAAAAAGTGGGGGGGGGCAGCCCCCCCCCCCTGGCCCCCCCGGATGCTACGTCCCTGTTTTCCTTGCATGGATGCTTTTAGAACTTGTGAAAGTATTTTTTGAAATGCTAAATTTTGTTTGCGGCCGATTTGATGCTTTGCATCAATTTAACTTGTGCAACATTGTTTTTGTGTGTGGTAAATTGTTTTCAAAGAGGGACAACTCTGAAATCTCTGTCATGATGATAAGGCTATCTAAATTTAATTCCCTGGTTCTCAGGCCAATTTTCTCCAAAACAGATGCGGGAGGGCGGCATTTTATTTTTCATTTTATTGGCAATAAAGTAGATGAGGGAGGTATTTTTTTTTTATTTTAATTTCCGAATTTTCTTTAACATAAAGATAATTTTTTTAATCACAGATATACTTTCCATTTCTGGTCAAAATTTCTGCTTTATCCATTGCTTAACAGCGTGTAAACATCGTAGGTAATCATGGTAATGTCCTCGAATGTATTTTCAAACGAAATAGCCAAAATCTCATTGTAAATGGCTACCGGAAGTGATATTTGAATACTAAACTACGAAACAAATGAGGTCGGAATTTTTTTTCCCGGATTGGTCTCCGCAATACCAACTTTTTATTTTATCAAAAATACAATAAAATCGGCAATGCGGCTACCTCAAAACAGATGCGCGCGGGCCTGAGAACCAAGATTTCAATTTTATATGGCCTAAGTGAAACTCCAGTACACTTGGTACAGGAGTTATAGATAGAATGTGATTAGTTAAAGAATCTTATATTGCAGTAATTAAGCAATTGACACCCTGAAATTCAAGGGGGAAAATTTATTAAATTAATACTTCATGTATAAGGTGGAATCAAAATGCAGATGATAGCTGATGATAAACCATTGTGTTATATGATGTATTTTTTATTTGCAGTTATTTAAGAACGTAATTGGTAATACAGTGGAAGAGATTGATGAGGAGATACACTTACAAGAGGCCAGGGCAGACTCACTGTATCAAACTGACGAAAGGGTAAGTACATAGGACAACAAGTACAACAAGCAATTGATATTCATAAGATAAAGTAAGTCGTAAACTCACAGATATTTTTAGCACATGATTAAAAATTTGTTAACAGTAACTAATGAAAAGTTTCTTTACAGTACAGTAAAACTTGTTTAGCATGAACATGGATATTTCAAATTCACAGACATAGTGAAGTTTTCTTGGATCCCCAACTATGAAAAATTTTTCAAATTCCTTACACGGATGTAATGAATTATGGCTATAGCGAAATAATTACACAGGTCCCAGTGACTTCGTTATAACAGAGTTTACTGTAAGTAATGAAAAGTTTGTTTACAGTTACTAATGACAGTAAGTGTAAGATATTCCTTCTTTGTTGTCCTCTAGGTTGTGCAAGAATACCGCACCCGCAAGACTGAGATCAACCAATTAGAAACAGAGATAGAAAATCGTGAAAGAGAAATTAGCGGCCATCAGGAGAGGATTGAGGAGATCAAGAGACAGTGGCTGGAGCCTCTACGAGAACTGATGGAAAAAATCAACGAGAACTTCGGATACTTCTTCTCCTGCATGAACTGTGCTGGGGAGGTGGATCTCAGTGTTCCCGCTAACGAGGTGCGGAATTAATTTGTTGTAATTTGAGAAAAATTAAAGACTTCTATTTATAATTAAGGGGTGAACATGGCATGCCTGCCCTTAACAGAAGTTTTTTTTTTATAAAAATTGTGCTGTGAAACTCGATTTATCTACAAGCATTAAAAGTTCCTGATTTCATTTTACTTCACAACCCCTAACACCCCCATCTTTCCTCTGGAAACAGTTGATTCAACCCTGTAATTTGTTAATATATGGAAATAATAACACCTATTTTTCATTTCAGGAGGATTATGAGAAGTATGGGGTGAGGATCAAGGTGAAATACCGCGACGCGGAGCAGCTGAGGGAGCTGAACATGCACCACCAGAGTGGTGGGGAGCGGAGCGTGGCTACCGTCCTGTATTTACTGGCCCTCCAGGAGCTGGCCAAGTGTCCGTTCAGGTGTGTCGACGAAATCAATCAGGTATGTCCGCAGCGTACAGCCCTTTTTATGATTTTTAGTTTCGAATGAAAGAAAATAAATTATTGTTATACCCCCGCAAACGAAGTTTAGGGGGGTATATTGGAATCAGCATGTCCGTCTGTCTGTCTAGCTGTCTGTCTGTCTGTAGACAAGATTTTGTCCAGACCGTTTCTCAGAAACTATTGGATGGATTTGTCTGAAAATTTGTACACTTATTATTCACCATATGAAGTTGTGCACCTGATATTTTCATCATGATTGGGTAATTTTTCTGCATTTTACAGGTGTTTTTTCTTTTTTATTTTATGGTTTTGTCTGGCTCATAACTAGAAAACTATTAGACTGACAATCATCAAACTTGGACAGTTTATGCATCTTGGGTAGAAGGTGTGTCACGACCTATTTTAAGGTCACCGTGACCTTTAATTTAAGTGAAATTTTAAAAAGAAACCAATCTTTTACTATTGAATTACACAATCCCAAAAATGTAAGAGTGTTTCTGTATCCCTGTTTAAAAAATGTTAAATTAAGAAAATAATATTTTTTCATTATATACTTTACAGCAATCCATATCAAATGTTATTTTATAAGAGATAATCTACCTCTTCCAAGGGTAAAATTATCAAGCACTGGTCAAGGAGAATTTTGATAACAGAAAATTGCATCCCTTCACATTTATCAGTGGACATGCATCCAGTCAAAGATTAATTAATGAGTTCAATGTAGGAAAGCTAGCTGTCTCAATCATTTCTGTTAGCTGTTATCTCTAATTAAGGTCCTTTGGGAATTAGACAGAGGAATTGCTGGTCAGTTTAAATAGCATATGTCATTTGATGGCCAGCCTTCTATTTCTAAAATCAATTTGTTATAGATTAAGTTTTTAATACTAATTAGTTAAATTGATATATTAAAAAAAGAATTAAAATATCAAGTAACAAATTTCAGAGCATCATGTCCCACATGAAAGATATATGCACATGTGTTTGTTTGTGGGGGAGGAGCATTTTTCAAGCTATAATGCAACCATTTGGTGATTATTTGTTATAATTAATGCTTACACCACAGGAGATGTTTAAACAAATATCAAAAGGAAAAAAAGATTATGGAAATCCTTTTAAAGGTTGCCATGATTTCCTCACATTCTAAACTGTTTATATTAATTGAATGAACAATATTTGACTGGAGTATCATGCTGTGTTGGACACTTTATTATTTTTAAAATGAATTTGATATAAAGTTATAAAGATTAATTTGATTCTGTATAATATTTCTTTTTTCAACAATTATTTTTCAGAGTAGCATGACAAATAATTGCTATTTCTTTTTTAAATGAAATTAAAAAAAAACTGTTACAGTGTATTAGTATTGATGTTTTATTTGGTTGCACCTTAGATTCATAAATTGAAAAAAAATTAATGAGCATGCAATTATATTTTCACTCGATTTGTTTTAAGACAATAGTGAACACCTCTTAATAGATCCATAAAATATTGTGAATTGGCACCTACTCTGAAAAAACACAGCAGGGGTATTTGTCCCTATTGGACAGTTCTAGTTTATCTTTACATTAGAAGGGAATTGATTAGAAATTGAGAATTGCACAGTAGAGTATATTTTGTCAAAGATCTAAGGGCAGGTTACTCTAAACGCATAAAAATTCCACAGAATCAGGGATTATAAAAATGTTGAGAATGATTGAATTGATGAGAAATGGAAAATTGCACAGAAGATTATGTGCTTTTCATTTAAGATCTAAGGGCAGATTACTCTAACTGCTTAAAAATACCACTGAATCAGGAGTTCATTAACTGTAACTTGCATACTAAGTAGATGTCATAATTTTCAAAAAAAGGATCAGTTTTTCATAGAAGAAAAGTAGCAAACTATACTGGAAGGTTTTGATATTATGAAACTTGAAAGAATGCATAAACATGAAGTATGTAATATAACAAATGTTATCTGTTATCTTAAATCTACTTTTCTGTAATAGGGTATGGACCCAGTTAATGAAAGGAAAGTCTTTGAGTTGGTGGTAAAAACAGTCTGCCAGAGATCCAGGTCCCAGTATTTCCTTCTTAGCCCCAAGGTATGGAAGTATTACTGTATCATTTCTTTTATTCTCCAAAAGTCTTTTTAAGAGACATGAAACACAGAGATACTATAAACCAACTTTTATTTGTGTTCGGGAAATAACCGTGAGTGTAGCGACCTACATTAATTC